TAAGTCCTTGGTTTAAGATAAACTTTTTGTTTTTTTTCTATAAACCTACTTAATTTTTATTGTTTTACAAACACAAGAGCTTAAATTTGTTAGTTATTCAGGAGGCTTGAATAAAACAAATATAGCCAAATATAATAAAGGTTCTTAAATTTTATTATTACAGCTTGTAGTTCATCATATCTCAATTATAATTAATTAAGAAACATAACTATAATACCGCGTTTTAAAGATATACATACAAACAGATTTTTTAAGTTTTTTTTCTGTTTTTGCTTAAGGTTAGTTGTTAACAGTGTTAAATACTAAGTCACTTTTTCTAAATTAGACAGAATTTATATAAAGCTATCCGTTATATTTCATAAAATTTAAAGAAAGTGAAAATTTTTGAATAACAAAAATATTGTTATAATTTAATTTAAATCTAAAGTAATAATGCTTAATTTACAATGATTTATGAAATATTAATATTACGTCTAACATAATTTATAACTACATAATCACAAAAAAAGTCTAATTAAAGTTAACTAATCGATGTAATATTATACATTTTGACGGTAAATAAAAAAACGGAGTGAAACAAACGCGTAAACAGAAGTAGACAAATGAATAAACTTTTTAGTTTTTTAATGAAGAGTATTTTATTTTAGAAAAAATTATATTTTTGTTTTTAGTGAAAAGTTTTTTTTCTTGGGTATAAGTTTGATCAAAATAGAATATACTTAAGTTTAAAAACTTTCTGTAATTTTATACACAAAATGAAATTTCACAAGATTAAATATTTTTAAAAAATCACTTTAACATAATTAATGTAATATATTTAAATTTATATTTTAAAATAGGCCACGGCCTATATTCATATAACTTTCAGATTAAATAAAATTAAAAATATATTATGTTTTGTTTAGAATAGCAAAATACATTTTAATATAATTTATATTAACACTTAATAATAATATTAAAGTTATTATACTTAAGTAGTTTTTTATTAATTAAACAATGCAAAGCTCCGTTATAATAAAAGTAACTAGTAAGTTATTCATTTATCTAAATCATAAATAATCACAATAAATTCACATAAAAACTGAAATCTTTAAATACCAATGGAACCAATTTTTACACAAGTTGGTAGTCCTATAAATTCGTACAACCTTCTAGAAAATTTTCTAGGTAGGTCTAAAAATTTTAAAAGATAAATCTTAAAGCAAGATCGCATTGCTTAATAAATAATTACTCATTTATACTTGATACTTATCTAAAAATTTCGAGTAAAAATAATCAAATGTTTAACTATTTCAAATTAAATTTAAGTAATAAGTAATATTACTTTAATGCATACTCGTATACATAAATATTAAATATCCATAATTAGAATGAATTTTCTGCTTTGATTTTTAAATTACATATAATTTATTACCACTAAGAATTAATATTAAAAATTAAAACGTGGTATACATTTAACGATAACAGTAATAATACTTTTACTTACCTGTATAAGACTGAAAATGCTTTATTAGTTATTACCCAGTGTATTGTATAAAACTGAAATATGACTATTTTAAAATATCGATTTACGCCCATAGAAATTAATTACCGTTCATCAGATCCTTTTGTTATTTTTCACTCATAGTTTACGATGTCAAAAAATAATTAACGTTTAATGTAACATACTTTATATTATACTCAATAGCAATATTAGTACTATATTTTAGTTGGTACCATAAAAAATATAATCTCTTTTAAAAGCAGAAATAACAAATTTATTTATCTATTATTGAATATTAAGAATTACCTTTTAATAAGATTTTTATAATAAAAGGCCAATATCAATCTTAATAGACAATTTTAATCATTAGATAATTTAAAAAAAAAAAAAATAATAACAATAATTTTACAATATTTTTAATGACATTATATAACATTGATTTGTAAAAAAGTAAAATAAATAAAAAAAACACTAAAACTAATCCAAGAAATATTTCGAAATACGTTAAAAAAGACATTCAGAACTAGTTAACTGAGCAGTTTTTTGATGAACGACCTCATTTTGTAATTTTTTTTTTTTAAATCCAATCCATAACGAATTTTTAATGATCTATAATCAATCACATTGCGCATAAAAAATATTCAATCAGTTTGACCTCATTATACATAATTACAAATGTCGCTGTGTATTTATTCATGACAGAATTTAAACGAAATAACTATATATTATTAATTATTTAGAATTATGTATATTCTTTATTTTATTCTTGAGTACGTTCTGAGATTGTCCACGACTTCGTATTTTTTTAATTTATGTATATTTTTTTATTACAATAAGCTTATAACTAAACATTTAATTTGCATAGCTAAATAAATAGATGCTTTTTCAAAATATTTGACTAGAATAGAATAACGAATTGCAATGGAAATACAATTTTTGTTTTTAAATTTTACTATTGATAGCTTTATTTTGAACACAGTGATATATAATACTATTCGCATAAGCACAATTTTAAACTAGATTAACAACACAAAAGAATTTTTTTTATTTTCCATCTCAAAAGATTAAATACTATGTGTAGTAAGACATGATTGAATTCATAAAGTTGTATTTTGAACTAAATTGTAATTTTTTTATTAGAATTCGTTATGAATTTAAAATAAAATGTTTAAGCTTCCAATATTAGTATTAAATATATTGGTCCTAATAAATAAAAAATTAACATTTAGTCTAATGTCTGAATTGTTAAACAAAAACTGATTTGTTTGTAAAATTAAAAATAAAATAAAATCCTTTGTACCCACTGGCTATTATACAAAATTACATTATACAATTTAATATTAATCCGTTAAATGATATTTACTTAATATTTGTGTGTAGGAAGTTAAGGAACAAGACAGTACACCTACATAATTACTACTCTTTATAGTTCATTTATTTGTATTAAAAATTTTAAATCAAATTTAAATATAATTCAAGTATTCGACCGCTATCAAAAACGAATTAATTTATCGAGAAAAATATAGTTTTGATTTTCTTCTTGATTTAGTAAAGCACCGTCAGGTCCAGACCTGACATTTTTTTCTATAACTAGTTTAGATAATATTAGTACAATTACTATATAATGTTTATACAAACATATTAATTCTTATAACCAGTATTAAGCACAATTACCAACATTTTAAAATTTTAGAAATAAAATTATATCTCTAGAGATATCATTCTTAATAGTTTATGCATTTAAACGTTTGTTTATTTAACGAAGTATTAATTTCATACTAAAAAAAACAGCTAAAATTTTAGGAAAATAGTCAATTAACATTTTACTGCGAATTAATATATTAAAATTATCATCTACCTATATTGTAAATAAAATATTATTTTAAAGTGTAATTTTATGTTAATCGTAAAAAAACTATATAAATGTGTAATATAAAGATATTACGTAATTTATATAATACATAACGCAAAAACCATTCAAAACTTACTTGCAACTTGCAAGTCACATAATATTTTAATCATATGTATAATAAAAACTTTACAGGTAGTAAATGTTATTCCTCGATATTTTTTTAACATTATGTCGCAATAATAAACTAAATCTTAATCACACAAGAGCATCGCGTTTTGTAATGATATAAAAAATAATATCAATAATTAATAATAATTATTGTAATCTACATACAGGAATATAATTGTACGGTGTTAACTGTTCATTTTTATTTTTAACTAATAAACGTAAAATCTCAATAATATCATGTACCTATAGTTACACTTATATTGTAAAATATTTGTAAAATGAATGTGGAATCAACAAAAAATGGCTTAAAAGACAACTTATTGAAACTTGTATAAGTATTATCTATATAGATAGTAATGTACACTACATAATTATATAATTGCTTTTGTTACTTCCTATAGACTGCGATAATCTATAACCATTTCTGGGTCAATTACATTTATAAGCTGTCGTTTTCCACCATGATATAACATTTCATAAAAATACCTATATGTGAATCTGGGTCGTCCTTTAACCTAAAAAGTTAATTTAAAAAAAAAAGCTTTAAATTTACGCATTCGCAATAATATTATTGCTAAACTAGCTGACATTGGATGGAAGATAAACTAATCTTTTGTGAACAACAACTCTCGCATTAGTGTATTCTACTGTTGAATTCTACTCTTTTTTATGGTAACAGATGTCACGTAACAAAAATAGATGTTTATCTTAATCGAATTGATAGCATTGGAAATTATTTCTGGAACACTAAAGCCATCTCCTCTACCTTGATTATGATCTATTTGCAAATATTCCTCCTTTGCATATAAAGCGGGAAGATATCTTTAGGAAAGAAGGGAGAAATACTTTAAAATACCTAATATACCGATTAACAATAATATCCATAATTTACCCCCTAGGGACTGAAATCACAGAAACCCTGCTACCCGGATAATATAAGCATTTTTCAAACATACCATAAGGACCGCTATAAAGAAGAATGGAATAAAAAAAAAAACCGAAAAAATGCAAACAATTTATAAGACCAAATCACATGCTCTTAGTGTTTCATATTCCTAGAAGAGAATGGTCGTGCTTAGCAGATTCAAAAATTTAAGAGATCAATGGAAAAAAAATCAAGCAATGAAACACCTTGTCGAGAAATGCATGATACACTGCTTCTTGAGAGGCATGAAAAATATACACTTCTATAGAAATGTTGTCCGATAGCTGTCTGAATTTTAGAACAGAAAGGTGATTCTTATTTATATTCATATAAATAATTAGCTATTTTATTTGTTATCGTTGTTATTGTTTAAATTTCACATGAAATATTTATATACCTATCATATCAATTATTGTCATTACTTGGATTAAAATTATATGAATAAATAAAAAATAAATAATTATTTCAAAATATATTTTTATACATAAAGTTGAATACAAAAAACTTATACTTACTATAGTAAGATACCTATAACTATAGACTTAAACGATTATGATAACGTATATTATATATCTTCTTTTATATATTTTACAATCGACATATTAGTATTATTATTATTTAATCATTATAGCTTAATTTAAGGTATACGTGGTTACACGAATAAACTAAAATAATATTATTAAGTATACATCAATGGCCGTTTTTGCCTTTGGGTGCGGCGGTAAACAGCTGGACGTGGGTCTCGCTTAGGTTCGTGCTGTCAACGGACGCATCGTTGTACTCTGTACTATAGCCGCCCCGAAGCATCAGTTCGTCGACGTTTTCGTCGGACGACTCGGGATCTAAGTCTGCCGCTGTGGAAGTGAACGTCCCGGCGGTGGCGGCCGCGGAAGTCGTCTCAGCCTCGATCATTTCCCGTTGTTCCGGTGTCATACCGTCACCGTCATCAAAGTGTTCGGTAGAGGTGACTTCGGCGGTAGTGGTGACGTCTGTGTCAGCAATGGAGGCCGTAGCGGTCGATGGCGGCGTTGACGTCTGTAGGTCTCCTCGTCCGTACCTCCGGTGCACGTAACCGGAAATGTCACCTCCACCACCACCACCACCACCGCCAAACTCTTCGCCCGGTGATGGCAGAACACCACCCACGCCGCCACCCCCATGGTCGGTTCCGTATTCCCCACCTCCACCACTGTGTGATTCTTCGCGGTTCTTGTACTTAATGAAGTATACTTCAGGCTTAAGCGGCTGCGTGACTGGTGGTGGCGGTATGTGTATAGGCGGTGCCTCTTCCTGCTTGGGGTGCAACACGTAAATGAGCGTCTTGTCAGCCGGCTGTGGTGGCGGAGGTGGTATGATGGGTGCAGCGATTGATGGCGGAGTGGGTGACTTGATGAACACGATCTGATAATTCTTCTTAGGTGGCACATTGGGCAGAATGACGCGCTGTTTACGCGGCGGATCGTCGTCAGGTGGTGCAACGTGTACGTATATCGACTTGTGTATGACGGGTGCTTGATGATGCGATGCATAATCATAACCACCTGAACCATAAGCCGAAGATCCACTACCACCACCTCCGCCGCCGCCATAACCAGCCAGAGGGCTGTCGTGCCCAAAATCGGTTGAATCAAATGACGGCGTTATGTGTTGCAGCTGACCACCACTTGATCCGCCGTCAAACGTTGACGACTGATGGAATGGCGCCGCCGGCTCGTTAAAAGGCGATGACGATTGCAGATGTTGCGGAGAAGCCGAGAACGGTGACGAAGATGATGGCATGGTCGGCGAACTGGTTGACCGGAACTCAGATGACGGCACGAAATCTGTGAAACCTGTCGTATCGAAGTTAATATTCTCGCCGCCACCTCCGCTGCTTCCTCCGCCGCCCAACGACTGGTAAAAGCTGTCGGACTGATCTGTGTTATAACCACCACCACCTCCACCACCACCAGTGCCGGTGCCACTCGAAGACGAAGGCCCGAACCCGAAATGATCGACAGCAGCCGCTCCCCTACCTTGGTGGTAGTATTGATGTGAATGATGCTGTTGCTGTGACTGCGGCAATTGGTGCTGCTGTTGCGGCTGTTGTTGTTGCTGATGATTATGTGGCTGCTGTTGATGCTGTGGGTGTTGGTTATAATGGTTATGTTGCTGCTGTTGCTGCTGGTTTCGGGGGTATTTGTGGTGTTGCACATGTTGGTGCATGAAGTACGGTCTGGTGCTGGAAGTTTCAAGCCCTAAGTCCGAAGTGCTGATTGGCACAATGAACCGCTTCAGTGACCGACCGCTAGATCCACTGCCCACATGCGTTGCCTCCAGTGCACTGTCATCATCGTACAGCGACCTTTTCGTATCCTCGTAAGACGCGGCCGCCGTTTCCTCTTCGGCCGATGACGATAAATCGCAACTGACGCATACCACCGTGAAACAAGCGACCGCGGACAGCTGTTAAACACATGTGATATTACGATGATATGTTATTAAAATAATACATTGTTTTATACGTCACGTGTGTACTAAAAAATTATACGTCGTTGACATCGCCTAAAATGCAACATAATATTATATATATAACACTATTTGTACCAACACTACAAGTCGTAGCTAACTGGTAACTCACCCCAGTATACTTAAATTGGTTAAAACACTGATATGCCATTAAATATCACAACGATATGATACCTATACAGCTTAATATAATAAATAACGAAAGCTTTAACACCAAATGTAAAGCTATTAATTGGTAAAATAATTGTTTCACGTCGATAGTAATTGGTCGCCAACATTACGATTTACCTACACACGTGTGAATTTAAATCACGTTTAAAACTAGCGCGTCGAAGAAAATAATTTGTAACATATTTGACTATCGTCGATTTAGGCTTCATAATATATTATTGTATGCGATTGTAACAGTCAAATTATTTCAGCCAAACGTTCTTCATCTCGTTGTATAGAAATTTTCAATTACTTTATAGCACACAAATTTTTATCGACAATATGATAAATTAAAAATTATGATATATCATGAGACGTTCTTAATAAAAATTTCAGTATCTTTCGTTTATTTCTGCACATTATTGCAGTGAAATACAAAAATATACCGAGCCGACTACAATATAATATTTTTATTTATATATTAACTTTTTTATTTTAATATTTAATTACATTAAAAAAAAAAAATCCAACATGACAAAATTCAGTTTTTTTTCAGGCATATTTCCCCATGGTGCTATAGTTCATATCTATCTAAGTTTGTCTTATCTCCAAGATTTAACAAAATGTTCGATATATGAGATTAAAAAACAAAAAAAATTAAAATATAATTTTTTAGTGATTTTTATTATTTTACTTTTACCGTGTTAAGGAGATTGTAAGTTGATACTCGTACAAATCTATGAAAATACATATACGTAATATTAATAATGATATAATAACACAATTCTAGAAATGTCATGTAAATTATTCCAAACAATTTATCCAACGCTATTTTCAAAAATACGTCAAATAATATAACGTCAAAATGTTTAGTTATCCACGAATAGTAAAGAATGCGACGAATGTGACAAATGTCTGTGCACATTTTTCGGATGAGATGTAAAAACAAAATACACAAACGAGTTACAGTTTGGACCACATTCACATTGTTAAAAACATTGGGATAGTTTCAATAGCACAGGATTTTTTTTCCTTTTTTCCAATCGAAGAAAACGAGAGTATTTTTCTATTTCCATTCTGTTTGGTTGACGCTTTGTACTAGGAATTTTATATACCTATATATATATATATATATATAATATATAACCAGCGGGAAAAACCAAAGTTGTATGCGCAAAAATGTATTTTGACGATATTTTACGAAAGCGCTAAAACGTAACACGCATGATTTTTCAGATATAACTTTGGGTTCGTTCTTTCGAATGATTTCGGATTTCAAAACACTCATGAAATAATAAAAAATAAATGAAAAGGTAAAGAAAAATCTATTCTTACCGAGTAAAAATACTTGACGCCCATTTGTGCCGGGTTTCACGACAAACAGTAGATATTATGGTTGGCGTCTTCCACCGTTTGAAACATGTCCGAACTTGTAACCGCAGTTAACGTGACCAAACTAAACGTGAAAATGTATGACTGTGGACACAGTCAGGTTTCCTATTCAGTGGAAAACTCGCGTTGGAGGGGAAACGGTCGACCGACAGCTATATATTATTGCGAGAAAGGACTGCAAGAGAAGGAGAAGCAGACTTTCTTAAACGGTGTTAAGGGCCGTCAAGCAATAAAATATATGTGGCCTCTACTTTTCTGGACTATATATATCATATTAAATATTTGTATATTCGTAAAAAAAAAACGATAAAAAAAAAATTACACGCTGATAATTACTTTTCTTTAAACTCGTTTTTATCGATTTATGTTTTAGAGATGTCTTTAAAAAATATTCAATTCTAAATCAAATAAAATACGTTAAACTGTAATTGAAATAAAAAAACAATATCTATTTCTATATAAGTTTTAGTAACTCTTAAATTTAGTAATTTTATAACTGTTTATATTTTATTTTCTGTTTGCAGGTAAGATATAATGTAATTTCAACCAACATAATAATATTATGTTCGCTTCTCACAAATCAGGTAATTCGAGTATCATTATTATATAATTTAAATTTAAATTGTTAAAAAGCTAGACCTTCTATCATTTTAAAACGTACAGCCGATAAACCTTTTTTGTGAATAAAATCGACTTGGCAGTATTATCATACCTATTTTAACATTTCTGAGCGAGTTTACCGCAAATATAGCTGATATTTATCCGTATATGTCATATTTTTATATCTAAAAAGCTTCATCGCATAAATCAACATGATACGTGTAGATAGTTTAATATGTACTTCAGAATCGACAATATAATATCATAAACATAATAATATGCTATTATTTTCTCGTAAACGAATAGACACACAAAAGTTCTACAGATTAGTTCAATAGGATAAAAATCGTAAATCGAAAGACCGTCTTTTAAATGATTCGTGTTAATTCGTTAAAACGCCATTAAGGCTGAGGCGTTTGTGTGTAATGGCACGAATCCAGGAACGCGTCAACACACACCCTTTCACCACGACTAGTTTCAAAGTTTTCCAGATTTGTTCTTCTCCAATGACTTTCCATAATAATTTTAATCACGACGATTCTCAAACAACAATTGTAGTCTCGTTATACTGCAGCAGTTAAACATTATACTATAATCGAGCAGGAAAAATAATTTCATCGTAATAATTGTAATTCGTTGTAATTTACAAAATCTCAAAATTAAAAAAAAAAAAATCATTATGTTAGTATAGTACTTACTTCACTTAGTTTAATTTTTCAAATATTACTCAACGAATTAATAAATAAATTAAAGACAACAAATAAATAATAATAAACATATTTGTAAAACAAAGAATTAAAACCTTTTCATTTTAAACCTTGAATATTAAAGTTAAAATAGTTTACATTGTATATTTGAGGTAAAGAAATATTCGGTATTAATTTATTTAATTCTATAGTTTACAATAAATAAAGTCATGATATTAATTTAATTTTAACTTTTAATACTTACTACTTACTTTAAACTAGCTGTCCTGACACGGCGTTGGCTGTGTATTAATTTCTTATTTCTTTTTTGACAATTTCGTAGACCGTAGTTAGTGTTTAATTTAATTGTATTGATATCACGTATAATTCACAATTTAATTGTGTGTGTGTGTGTTGTTATAGCACTATTAGAATAAGACCGACGATCGACAGTAAATGAATGCACACGTTTTCACCATATTTTCACATTATCTTTGGTCTTTGACCGTCTACCGCCGGTACCTATTGTGTGCTGCAATCGCAGATTGCCGATTACCTACGACTAGTTTTATTAATACTAGTTATATACTGCGATTAACGTTCAGAAAAAAAATACATATATAGCTATATAAAATCTATATAAACTTTTAAAAAACTTCTTTTACTCTCTTAGAGATCCAATTTTGAAAAATTCTTTCTTAGTGCGCCCCTACATTGCTTAAGGAACCTATGTAAAAAATTTCAAGTCTCTAAACCCAGCAGTTTGGTCTAGACGTTGATAAGTGAATAGGGGGTATCTCCTATATGTATATAGATTTTTTTTAAAAAACCCAGTTACTTATAAGTTATAGCCAATAGAACAAAATATATTATATTTCATCTAATCTATAAATTTCCAACTTTTACACCCCTCTACAATTAAAATTCCTTGCTCAACGCTTGCAATTAATAAAACAATACGCAGATATCTGGTTAAAAATAAGCTTACTAACGTGAAAAAAAAAGTAAAGCTATTGTAATTGTAACATATTAATATATTTTACTATAAAACCAAATAAATAAACTGACTATAATTAAAAGATTTAAAAATTCAACTAATATAAAAATAAGCATTCATTTTAGAACATTTCAAAATTTTAAAAAATACATATGAAGTACCTTATCAACTATGACGCTTATAGCTTGTAAAAGCTTTAAAGAATGCAATAAATTCATCTCTGTGTGTTAAATGAACATGCACACTAAAAAAATCATGTAAAAAATACCTTTTTATGTGTATAAATAAATCAGTGAGGTATTACAGTTATTATAATGTAATAATTTTATTATAATACCTCATTTGTAATACGACCGTAGTAATTTTTTTTTTTAATAAATATGATTAACATTCACACTATTTTATGCTTATAATGTAGTTTATTTAATTAAGTTAAAATAAAACCAAACTTAATTGATTAACTACGTTAAATTTAAATAATGCATTATCATGTTCAAAGACAGGATATTTTAAAATTTTTAATTGTCCAGTAAAAAGTTATTGGCATATTTTCTAAAATCCAATCTCGTTTCTAATTTGATCATTTTTTCCTCTTATACAAAGTGATTGTGTTCGAACGTAATAATATACAACAAATAAAAAGTTTTCTGTAGTATCTACAATAAGTATATGCTATTAATCTTCCGACTTTTTAATTTTTATAATGATAATCAATAAATTATCAAAAATTAGTAAGTACTATAAATATTACTTAACATTTAATTAAAATTTTATTTTAGAAAAAATAATACAATTTAATAAAACTCAAATAAACTAAAAACATTTTTTATTTTTTGTTTTCATTTAAATAAATTATCATCAACCAATATTTAATTAAATTAAATTAAACCAAATAACTATACTATAACTAATATGATTATTTAATAAATTAAAATAAAATGTAAATGATACATTTTATACAGGTTCCAAAAGTGTAGAACTACCTATGCAATATTTAAAAACTCACCATTGATTATACCTAATTTACAAGACAATGTATTATAGTTAAATCATATTTTTTAGGAAAGGTTATTTTTACCAAAATTCTACGCAATTCTTTTTATTTATTGTTATATAATGATATAACAATAAATAAAAGGAATTGCGTATTATGTTATGTTAGTTAATATCTAAATAAATTTTAGAATAAACTTATGAATTAATATATACAAAATCAATTTTGTTTATCAATTTGTTATTTATAAGTATTAATAACAATATCTACCCATACACTCTGCATAAGCCAAGTAATAATCAAATTTAATATTTTTTCATCTATATAGACTATAATATAAATTTTTATCAGACAAAATGAATTTTGTTCAAGAACATTAACACAAAATGTATATTACATTAAAAAAGACCTATAAATTGATTTGCTTACATAATTTATATTACGAATACAATATTCGCTACATAGAAAACCTAATAACAATCGGATAATCACACTATACCTGCTGTGACGAAAATGATATCAATAATGCAATATCTTTATCATCGTAGGTGAAACTAGAGCCTTATGTCACAATGTAATCCATATATATTTTTATTGAAATAATCATCAACTCCATTAATTTCTTTAAATAAATAACTTTGACTTACTAATTGAGTATCGGAAAAAAAGTTTTGAAATCTTTAAATGTTGGTTTTATTTTCGTATAATATTATAATCACGGCTGACGAATATCTGTAAAAAAATATTTTTAATAAACTACCTTTGTATAATATCCTATTTTTTTTTTTTTTTTTTATATGTATTTTATATTTTTATTTTTTCGTATTCATTATAGAACATTTTTTCAGATTTTACCAATAAAAAAGTCTAATTCATTTACGTGAAAATATGGATTACCTACGTATGCAAATTCCTTTGATAGCATACAAAAAAAAATATTATTCCATAGATATGTATGAATAATGTATAAGAAAAAAACATATTAAATCCAAATGTGTTTTTATTGTTCTTTAATGAATTTTAACATTCATAAAAATACTTTTTATAATTTAAATACAGAATTTATTTACATTAAAATAAATGTTAATGTAAATTTGTAATATTTTTGAAGTTTGTTCAAATTTACAATTGCAGTAATAGTTAACTGTTACGGTTTCGTATATACTTATTATACTGTTATACGGGTGAAATGTTCATACGTTCATAACGTATGACGACTTAAACTCGATTACGCGAATTGAATGCAAGTATTATAAAGAATAAAATGAGGTCCTATTATCGTTAATGTTTCACATATTATCATGTATACTTTTGAATTTTGTTCAAAGTATAAAAGTACGTCGAATATATTATATAAAATACAGAGTTTTTTTTTTTTTTTTGTAATGCGAGTTAAGTTAAGTTAGTAATAATAATATAATATGATCGAATTTTTCACACACCAGTTGTATATCGTACTGCACTATGTCTTGCATTATAGTCTATAGGTAATAATAATATTTCATATTTGTATATATTATGTTATATACGCAAACAATGCAATCGTAATAATAATATATACCTAGATGATACAAATTAATGTTGACACGTCCATGTACCTACGCAATGAAGTCAATTACATTTAAACCATTCACATGAATATTAATGGAACACTACTCGAGAAGATTAAATTATTAATACAACACGTTATATCTATTATTATATAATAATAAATAGTTCGAATTTCGTAGAACAAACTATCGTACAATATTATTTAGTTGTAATACCTACGGTTGTGCACATGAAAACGTACATCATA